AATCAGGATCTCCTCCGTAGCTAATAGCAATTCCCACCTTAGAGTTTACAAAGACTTATGGGTAGAAAAGCCACACTAAGTAATTTACTACACCGCATGGGGGAAGATTATACCTCTGATGAAATTCTTTATTTTTTTCCTTCCATCTTTTCCCTACATGGCTTTCTGAAAGCTCTCGGAGAAGATCCTCTTGTGTCTCAGCTTCTTATAGGCTCTGGCATTCCTTGGCTTATAGGTATATCTCCCCTTCTCTGTCTCTCTGTGTCTCTTCTCCTCTTTTATAAGGACACCATTCAAATAGGGGTTAGGATCCACCCTACTCTGTTATGACTTCATGTTAACTGATGACATCTTCAAAGACTTATTTCAAAGAAGTTCACATTCACATATACCAGGGGTTAGGACTTCGACATATCTTTTTAAGAGACAAAATTCAATCTGTAACATATATATGTACAAAAGAACAGAGAAAATGAGAATGGGATTAGTAAAACTAAGAAATGTATATTAGGGTTGTTTAGCAGGAAATTATATTGAGGGGTGGAGTAGAGAAGGGGCCAAGAAACCAGACTTTGCTATTTCTGTAACCTTGAGCGAATTTTATTCATTCTAGGCCTCTACTTCATCATCTGTAAAACGAAGTGGGTGAAGAAATCTTTGGAACCATGGGGGACTCTGTTCTCTGAACTGTGGCAGTTGAAAACACTTTACTCAGCATAAAGCAGAGGTCCTTAACCTTGACTGCATACTGGAACCCCCTGGGAAGTTCTAAAAATCCCAGTGTCTGAGCCACACCTCAGACCACTTAGAATCCCTAGGGGTAAGGCCCAGGCATGAGCATATTTTAAAACTCATCAGGTGAATCCTATATGCAGCTGAGGTTGAGGAATCCTCTAAATCTAGCAACAAGCTTCCACTCATTGGCAGAAAGAAGGATGACTCTGCAGGCCGTGAGTCAGCAAGACAGCATGCGGGAGATTGCTCTAAGTTTGGGATCCCTGCCCACTAACAAGAGCGTTGGTTCAGGCTACTCTCTTAGTAGCTGCTAAAAACACCATGTGGAGCCGGAAGATTGAAAGACAACGCAAATTTATTCAGAATATTTGGATTCATATTGATGAATATTCAGTTTATTAACCACATAGGGATTTCTAGCCTTTCAATTTGGGGAAAAACTTAAAGTACAGCCATAAATTTAAAATCCTTCCTTTACCCCAATTTAGCCATATTGGGGGCAAGGGGAGGCAAAATATGTGCTCAAAACTCAAGGCTCAAAACTCCCATGTTAAATTTAAAAAGCAGAGTTGTTTCTGCAGTTAGGTGAGGTATCAGGATGTGAAATATGGATGATTTTGTCCTATATTAAAGGCCTACTAACACACCCTTCTCCCACTAGGTCTCCCTCCAGTCACTGATGTGCAGCCCAGGGATGCACTGCCAACACTGGGTCAAGCTGGGACAGGTAACCAGCAAGAACTGATCAGAGTCCTGTCCGCCTGGAAATCAGTCCCTCTTTAAGATGGGGGCTTGCTAGAGAAGGAATCTCTGTGGGAGACCTCAAGGAGGACGCATGAAGCAGAGGAAGGAACCCTAGGCAAAAAGTCACTACCAAGCCCAGCGCAACCGGGCACAGGACCTTGAAGAGTCACTTCTGCTCTCCAGATCTCAGATCTTAAACCACCACTTTTATAAAGTTAAGCATTTGAGTCCCATGGTCTTCAGGTTCCCAATTAGACCCAAATTTGTTTTTTCTCCATCCCATGGGAAGAGAGCATTTGCCTTCACCAAACCATCATCATGAATACAGAGTCAGAGGAAATAAAACAGAGGTGATGGACTCAAATGCCTCCAGAGGCCAAGTGGACATATAAGAGCATGAGGCAGTGACAAAGGACAGTGACAAACACAAGACCCCACCTAAAGGAGGTAGCTGCTACTCAATTCAGATAGCTGTCACCATGAGAGATCTTCCAACTCATTGAGGGAAAAGAAATCCATATATATACACACACACATATATACATATATATGTGTGTATATA